CCCTGAGCTCCCAGAAAAACTGCAACTGTTGGGTTGCCGTGATTAGCATGCTGACAACGTCTCGTATGACTGTTTCCCCTAGTGGTCGGGCATCGGCTGCAGCAAGTAACATGTCCCAAGCCTGCCAAGAAGGTGCATCCTGGAGTGGTGCAGACCGTGACCCTGCCTCGCGTTGCCCCTGTTTGATGACCATCACAGCGTCTGGTATGATGCTGTGCAGCTGTATGCTTGCAAGCCGAGCAACAGCGACTGTGACCATTGGCCGTGAACGCTCGCCCACAGCCACGAGTGGCGCAGAGTACCCGGGGCTCGCCAGCAGCATCCATGATCCAGACCTCAGCAGGCTCAGTGTCTGTGGAATGAGGGTGCTGCTCCGGGTGATGTGCACATGCCCTCGCGCAGAACTGCCTTTGTTCGAGCGCGCATGCTCGGCCGACTCAGGGCATACCCATTGGCATGCACCAGTGAGCACCATTCCCCATCCCCATTACAGCCAGTATGGCTGGCCCCTCGGCAGAACTCTTGCCCCGCCCCTGCAATGAAACCCTATAACGGTACAAGACAGCATGCCCTCTACCCGGATAAGGCAAGGGTCAGCGCAGGGGGGGGGGAACTACCAGAGAATTAGCAACCCGGCAAGGCGAACCCTAGGCTATCTAAGTGGGACCTGTGCTCCGCACTCAGGCATCGGTGCTGTCCTATTGCATAGGCAAGAAGGACAACTCTCTCACCTTCCTGCCACTGGTACGTTCGGTGCCATCGTGCAAAGGCTGGCATCAGGTAACATCGGCGACTAACCTCGTAAAGCTTTCCGGGCACGAGGGCATCCTGCACTTCTTCGAATTGCAGTCCGGCCGAATCCTGAATCCACAGGGCCCCGCCTGTAAAGTGACTTAAGCCCAGCACCAGCGAATCAATGGCAGCGTTCTGCTTGTCAACATGGACCTCATTAAGACAATTGCAGGTGATGCTGAAGGTTGTCCATCGCAAGGAGGGAGCAAGGCCTCGGATCAGAGCGTTGACCATGCGACAGACTGTCGGCGTCTGCAGCGTGTGTTTGTGGAGTCCAACGTATGATCGATGCCCATAAGCCCCAGCACTGAAGGTCAGTACTGGCTTTGCTGAGAGCTGGCGTTGCTGCATTTTAAAGGGCAAGTCAGCAACAATGGCCCGGACAGCCGTCCATAGGGAGCCTTGCTGCGCGTCCATGTATAGCCGAGCAGTCGCTTCTGCTGGATGTGCCGGTGGCCCTAGATCACAGGCAGGTGCAGCAGGGAATATGTCTTCCGTCATATGAAGCAGATGCTGGCTCAACGCGGTCGCATACATCAAGAAATTGTCATACTCCGCTGGTGACAAAAGCTTTCGTGCCAGCTCGATGATGTCATTGCGCGATGCCATGGAAGCGGCCGGTGGTATGCACAGCGGTCGCTCATCAGGGATCAAATGGCGAAGCGCATCTAGGAGAAGAGACTCCTCCAGTGCGGTCTGATACCAGGCCTGTGGCAGCGGCAGTTCTCGAGCCATGAGCAGTGTCACGACTAGGAGGCAGCAGCGGAGCAGTAAATCGCTTCAGCCCAGTGTTATGCCAGCAGACAGACACACCTGTTCTGCGCAACAACTGCTACTTGCAGACTGTAGACATCGCAGGTGGTAACGCCTCTGAGTGCCCCGGCCGACTGCGGCAGTGATGCGCACACAAAGATACTACAACTCAAAACTGTAGTCGAAAGCTGCGCTGCGACAATCCGTACATGCAAATGAAATTCAACAAAGCGCAAAAAGGAAAGGCGGACAAATGGTGACGGGTGACTTGTTGCAGGCTCCGTGTTCAGGTTTTGCACACAAAGAGCAGCAGGCTCTAGTCATGAACGGCAGTAGTGCTCTTCGGCAGTTGCCGTCAGCCAGAGCTCTCTCCCTATTGTCAATCGATGCAGATAAG